GGAGACCCACTGACCACGAGCAGCCACTACTATATATATATATATATATAAATTTATCTCTGTCTTTATCTTATTTATACCTATATCTATGTCTATAACCTATATCTATGTCTATATATATATATATATATATTACATATCGATGTTTATATGTACCTATTTCTATGTCTATATATATATATATATATCCACCTAAGTGTACACACAAACATCTTGAATCCTCCGTTTGATATGTATTCAATGCTACAGCTCGTTTCCGACACTCCCCACGAGTATGCGGGTGAATGATCCGCTGTTGGGGGCACTTGTCAATGGGCTTTCTGTTGAAGATTTGCCCACTGTTATACTGGCAACGTCGTCGCGGAGACCAAATAAACACACTACACACAGTGACGAATGCGTTGCTATCCGTAAACTGCAACAAGGTGAGTATTACTCAACTAGGTGCAATTTGTGTGTGACTGCGATAATGACACCGAAGCCCCAAAAGTTCGCCATACTCGACGTACAGAGTGTCAACTAATCTGTAAGCGATTATCGGGTCGGTACATATTGATATCTCTACACGGTTCTCCGCTGTACTTGGGTACTTATAACCGTATGGGCAAATGCGGAAAGCTTATTCGATGAGTCAACACCGACATACTTACTGAAACAGCTGGCAACCCCGTAGAACTAACCTTTATTGTATAGTTACATACGTACATGCATTGCACACAGACATTCCACTAATACACACTAGCATATAACCGTACTTAGTATTCCATTCATTCATACTTACCCACGCACAAGCACGGAGCATGTATATTCTACTACACTACAATACTACACTGCAGCTGAACGCTCCTCTTGTCACCATATCTTTCGCAGCGGTGTCGAGCCTGGTGAGCGAGGTGACGTTCAACACACCGGACAGAGACAGCGAAATCCCCACTATAGAACTGACCGCCGCGTACAAACTAGAGCAAGAGGCCCGTACTCAGATGTATCAATAAAATCAAATAAAATCTATGGCGATTTGGATTCAATTTGGAAAGTTGTGTATTTGATTCACGCTTTTCGACTATACTACTTTGGAAATCACAGACCATAGCTTTCTAAAAGTAACACGCAAACTTGTACGTTCGCGACATAGTATATCTAAACTTTGGTGGGCAATACTTTTAATATCGCAGCGTACATTGAAAATATCGGATCCCTCGTATGGGGCACCTTGGATGAGTATGAAAACAGAATCATATAGCCACCATTATCGTTGCCAGTATATTCATGTCATCAAGTATAGTCAACCGTTCATCACAAGGGCGAGCGTTGTGCACGTCTCGATTCTATGGAACTCGGATAAGTGGTATATCAAGCGGTTCTTGTTGGAGTTTACAGGAGGCTGTGGATATTTGAACCAACTATTTCAGCTCCTTTGACATTCAGTTGCGGTCGTAGTTACGATTGCGGCTCAAAAGACAGTGAGAATTGTCTTTGTAAGTTAATCCAGCTACTATTGTAAGCCGAACCTGTGTCGACTGTCGTTCACCTACGATATAACACGCTGCCAGATGAGCACGCTGTTGGGCCATCCGTATCTGTATGTGGCAAGGGTAAAGTGTGGCCAGGGTATAGTGTTCAGGGCTCTTAAGTAATTCGAATTGCCTGTAAAATACAATAGTTCCAAAGTGGAAACGCGCACGTACGGCACGTGAGTACTATGTTTTAATGCATCGATCTGCCATGATGAACGATATATAGTAATATTGTGCTAAACTCGCCGAAAGAATTATGCTGAGCTCGAGGGTTTTCTTCATTTGAGTATGAATAAAACAGTAACAAAACCGGGTGTGCACGCAACGCAAGTTAATTAGTCTGCGCAGCCTAGTTGATACACCCTGATATTTCTTGTAGCTGCTGTATTTCAAAAGTGAAATCTTATATAATATTTGAAGTGCATAAAGTCTCGTGACGAATATATCATAGCTGCTTCGCAACTTCTCATCTTCGTGGAGGATGACACTCGGTGATATGGTGCTTTGATACATCAATCTGCCATGAGGCATGATTTTTAAAGCGAATGGGGATACATTAACGAAGTTTGCAAGTTATAAAAATATGGCTACGACCTAGAATGGATTCTTTTATACTAGTCATACGTAAAAGGTATGTTATACACTTTCAAAGCGAATATCATTTTATCGAGATAGCAGGTGCACCTCAAGCGCACAAAACACTCATCCATCATATGCACTATATTCCTACCTACCACGTGCAGTATATTACTACCTACCACGTGCAGTATATTACTACCTACCACGTACTATATTGCTACCTACCACATGTACTATATTATTACCTAACACATGCACTATATTCCTACCTGCCACATGTGCCAACTAGTATTAAGTATACCTCACATGCAGTCAGTCTAATCTTTTGCAAAACACATTCATTCTAATGCCACAGCTCCCTTTTAATATCTGACAATACATTGAAATTTATCTTTTACATATTGCTGTAGAAAAGGGTCGAGTAGAGTCATGACGCATAAATTTTCGTTTAGAGACAGCATATATATATATTGCTCGTTCATCTTTCCATGCCTACGAAAAATTTTACGCTGCATACGAATCGTGAGAATAGAAGGTCTATCTGAGGAAGCTCCGTTTTACGGAGATATCCAGAGGATGGTAGCCCCTACAGTATTTAAGAAAAACTATAAGGCTTTGCAGAGCCCGGAATTGAATTTCAGAGGTTGTGTACTGGAAGTTTGAGTTGGGTTCAAGAAGGGCTATTGCTGCTATGTAGTTGAGATCCTGCTCTCGCCCGACAAGGTGTCTGTCACGGATGTGTCACGGATGCGAAGTCAACATTTTAGTTTATATTCCACTTTAGGATCTTTTAGTCCGTCTCAGGAATCCGAAGTGATTTGTATTTCTGAAATGGCTAAAACCACCAGTTATTGCGAAAAGGTCGCGAATTTCAAAAGGCAAAATGAAGAATATTTATTACTACGACAACATAGAAGTGAGCTACTTGCCACTCATGTCATAAGGGCTAGTATACCACGAGATACCACACATTGGAGCTTCGGCTGACGTCCGTTTTATAGCTGTTTTGTCGAATTACAAATTTGTAGGATGTTTCAGCTCATGCCCGTAGCAAGTTCCATCAGCGCTTTGGAAGGAAAATTTCGCTATCTCGAAAAGGCAGTTTACTTACCAGGCAGTGTCGAGCCTGTCGAAAATTTGACAAATATTGCGCTGTACATAGCTAGAGAATCTAGAACGTATGTACTAATCGATATCGCACGAAGTTACATGGAGAACAACTACATTGGACGCGCATCGCAATCCTGAGCAAATGCATGCCGTATTATGTGACATAAAGCACTTTAAGATGATCAAACTAGACATATCTCCACTTGTCCAATGTAGAAAATATTCAACGAACATGAGCCAAGAAAGCACTCTCCCTCTTAAAGGAATAATTAGAAACTATTTCCTCAATATAAATATTGTATACTTCAGCTATCTAGCTTTCTATTGCATTGAACCTGGCTACACTACACTCTACACACAACACAGAGTATAAACTGCATTTTTCTGAATGGTGATGGCCTGATGCCTGGATGCATGGATGCCTTGATGCCGGGCACGATTCTAATTTGTAGAGCTGGTGTGCCTCGATCCACTTCACGCATCGACCTTAGTTACACTACACTCTATAGTCTATACAAAGAGTACAGAGTATACATTGCATTTTTCTGAATGCTAATGACCTCATGCCTGACTGCCTGGCTGCCGGGCTGAATCTGATGCATGCTTGTTTGCACGCATTTGCACCAGGGCTTAAAAATAGTTGTCACTCGTAAAACATAGTAGACATAGGCATTTTAACGTAACATAAAATTGGCCTATAGTAAGTCATTCTCTACTCCTACAAGCGAATGATATAAAAATAGTTTGCAATACGAATATTTGATTGGTACGATCATTACGATAACAAAAAGTAAACGCGCTTTTTGAGTCTATATAATATATATATATATTTTACCCGACGATAATGAGTGATGAGTGATGACAATCGAGGGGTACAATGTTCACTAAAGCCTTCAACCTGATTCTATTGATTCTTCTCACACATTCACAAGAGAAATGACACGAGAAGGACAATATGTAAATAAGTACATAAGCTACAAAACAATCTTGGTTAAACGACGAGAGATTTACTATAAAACATAACAATACAATTGATAATAAAAAAAATATATAAAAATCACATACTAAAAATAAACATACTATCCTTTTAGAACAATAAATTTGTGATTGAAGGCTACGCTAAGTTTACTATAACATTATTGATTATTGCCTGTGGTTCACCTATATCTCAGAGTAATATGGGATAGACGATCCAATAAATCATTTGCAAAATCAAATACCTTATTCTGGACTTCATTCTGATCGAACGGATAATAACCTGTGCGGAATAACCGGTTCTGTAAACGACTCTTACCGTTTTAACTTTCTATGTAATGCAATAGAGAAACAAAAAAGAGTCGAGTCTTATCCTAAAGGAACAATAAACACTCGCTCTTCAGCAATTTGAAATATAAACACTGTTTCTAATGATGTAGCAAATTCGTCTATTCTGAGAATGTGTCGGCTGCCTTCTGCCAAGTTGCCTTTCAATTGTGTGTAAAGTAACATGTATACTCTTCGTATTGCTTCTTGACCAATGATAATCGGCATTCAGAACAATCGGGTGCATTTTAAAAACAATATACCGTATACCGATACAGATGCATCGCCGATTTGTCTTGGGCTGGGGTTGCGAGTATATCGATTAGCTGAGCGTATATCTTAGTGCCCCAGCATGTGCAGGATATCACTTCCACAATTCCAGTTTGCAGTGTAACACACAACCACATCAAGCATACATATCATCGCCGTGCTCTTGCTAAATATAATCGCAACTACACGGTATACAAACTAATATATTTTTTATTAACTAAAGTTTTACAAATATTACATGTATGGATTCATTGCTCAACGAAGTATTCACTTCTGTACTGTCCCAACTGAAAGATTATAATATATTGATCAGCATATTTTGGGCACAATACCTATAATCATGCTCGCGGCAACAACTAGTTCTATTGCCGGTAGGAGTTTGGACAGTTTTCTCGGACCAAGCCTTGGTACATCTCGTTGTCAGACAAAGATAAATCAAGGTATGAGATGTCTTTCTGGATATTGTACCTGGAAATACAGTGACAGATGAATAACAAATATATACTAAAAGCAACGATATTAATTTATTGCTTGTTTATGTAGCCATGCGTGGCCATATTTGTTGGGCTGCTGGGATATTCACTCGCAATGTCAAAACCAATACCTACATGGTGGCTGATATTCGTACATTGCTGTATTTTTGAAATCAGATCTCAAAATCGACTAGGAACAAGGGGCAGTATTTTGATATAAAGCCATGCAATACGTCCACACAGTCCTAAATATATGCACAAACAATAACACCAACACCGACATACTCGCATACAAAACTTATTTATATATATATATATAGGCATACGTATACACACACACACATATATATATACATAC